GGTCATAGGTTCTGCCTGGAAAAAACAATATCAAGAAAAAAATACCAATTTTGGTTGAATACTGTAAGTAACAGTCATTTTTAATAAATATTTATATTTTTATTTGATGGTTACTCTGCTAAAGCAACGTATTGTTTTTAATGTGTATTTTTCATAACTATTAATATTATGTTTGTGCACGAATGAAAGGTCAAGTCTGTTAAAATGTGTAGTTATACTGAATTAAATTAACTTAAATTAAATTAGGCTAATTAAATTAGCATAATAGAGAATATTTTCCTCACTGTCGTCATATGGCTTATTGTTAAACTTCTTTATTTATTAGATATTCTACTATCCCAGGTTCAAACTGCACCTTCTTGTCATTTAATAAATTTGAAAAGTTGAAAATTTCTCTTGATTTGTGTCTCTACTCATCATRAGAGTCAAGATTCACGTTCAGCTCAAGTTGGAACAACAGCATAATTTGATAAACCATATTTTTCCTCTTTTTCAATCTTTCAGTTCCATGGTTTTAAATTTTTTGGACTTAAATMTGATTTATTTTTGTTGTTCAGAAATGAGAAAAACAGCAACAATATTTTTAGCGATGTTGATATTTTTAGATTGCCTTGAAATATCAGTTTACTCACCATAAAATACTAGTGAAATGAGTAGAGTAAGATGGGAGGTCAGGGAAACTGGTTCTTCGGAGACTCCAATGTCTTACTAAAAGGCAGGAGGACCAGCAGCTTAGAACTCTAAACTCTGTGTATTTATACTCACACGTACTTCTACAAACACCAAATAAGGCGTGAAAAGGTCCGTCAATGTCAAAACTGAAAGGTCAATGATGGATGAAGACTGATACTTTTTTWAAACACTGATTACAACAGAGAACTTTCCTAACTGATTACCAATAGGAACATGACTTGGTTCCCTCAACTGCAGACCTGATGGTGCAAATAACTGACAAAGGGCATCTTACTTCCTGCCACATAAACTTGAAACCGTTTCTCAGTACTGATGTCACTTTGAGTGAAATACTTCCTGCCACATAAAC